TGATAATTCTAAACAAGAATTTCAATATAATCATATTTTTGTAATAGTTGTTTGATAAATAAGTTAGCACAATTAAACCACACTAGGGTACATGGATACATTAAGACATTAAGATTAACCTCAACTACTTATTTAGTGAATTGTCATGTATTTTAAAGTGGACCTATTATGCAAAAATCACTTTTATAATGTGTTTGAAAACAGTTGTGTGGCTGCAGTGTGTGAAAACAACCAGCCTATAATGGTAAAAATACACCCACTCATTTTTTATACAATCCCAATAAATCATAAACAGTCTCTCAGAATAAGAGATTCCAGATTCTCCCCAGTCAACACGTGAGATCATGCGATGATCACAGTAACATCACACCATTCTCATACTGTGATACTCACAGTGTGAGTAACATGTGAGCTCATTGTGAATTCAAAATGTTGAGCAGGTTGAGAGGAGGCAGTTCAAATATCAGTCACCGAGGAGGCTTTCTATATCCTGTTTCTCAACACTATCACAGTGATATCACAGTGCTCTCACATGGTGAGCTCATGAGTGCAAACTCAGCTAACAGTTTTTTGTTATAAGAACCTTCTCCAAACATACAACTGACTTCCAGACACAGCCTTCGATGAAATCAACTGAAATACAAAAGACATTAAATCTTTCATGATCTCAGCAGAGAATGATTAAACAACTCCACAAACAGCATCACCAGCTTCACTCATTATTAACCAGACTGACTTTATTTCTGTCAGACATCTACAAAAGCGTTTATTGAGAATTAACAGAGATTTAGATGATGATGTTTTATTGTTTCATTAGATGTTACCATCAAGGTGATTAGTGTTTGTAGTGTTAGTGACTTTATAACATTATTTTTTTGGGCTGCTGTAACTGCATTTATAAAACACATTTTTCGTGGCAAGAAATACTAAAAAGAGACTGCAACCAGGTGCTATCAGTTTGTTAGTGATGATAACAACACAATCTTCATCCAGATTCAGTATGCTGGATTCCGTTAACTTGCTAAAGCGGATAACCAGATTGACTTTATTTCTGTTAGAGGTCTACAGAAGTTCTTATTGAGAATTAACAGGGGTTTAAATCTAATTTTTATTTATTTTGAAGTCACCATAATGGTGATTATTGTTTACATTAGTTGGGCTCTTAGCTCTAAAGTCATTACACTACAGTGATGCAGCTTCAAAACAAGTCTGAGTAGAGTGTCAGACTTAAAGTCTGTATTTATATTGAAGGTCTGTGTCAAATGAAATCACTTCCTCCTGTGTAAATTTAACACTAATTTAATGAACTAAAGTAATCATCGTTCGAAAGACCACAGCTCATCTGTGAAGACATACTGCAAGACACAAGAACCAAAAATGGAATCGGAGTACTCTTATGAAAATGCTGAACACAGAAATTTTTGGGAGACAACTGGACCTCAAACATTCTGCCAAGATGAAGGAAGAGCTCGAAATCACAGTAAGCAGAACCTTTGCTGATATCAGTAAGCTTTCAGGAAGTGAGAACTGTTAGAATGTCAGTCGTTTTCTTAGAACAATGTTATTTACTTTCGCAGCCTATTTTCTTGTGTGCGTATTTTACTGTACGGTAATAATTTTTTTAAAGATTTATTTATAGGCTTTTTATGCCTTTATTTGGAAAGTACAGTGTAGAGTAGACAGGAAAGCATTGGGTGAAGAGAGAGGGGAGCGGGATCAGCAAAGGACCACGAGCCGGGATTCGAACTTGGGTCGCCATGAGCGCAGTTGCGCTATATGTTGGCGCACTAACCGCGAGGCTATTGGCACCAACACTGTATAGCAATTATTAATCAATATTTTGTGTCTATTCTTCCTGTCTGACAGGAGGAAGGCGATTTTTGGTGCCGATCACTGTGTGTCTTGGGATCATTTGTCTTCTTCTGATTGCTGCCATCATACTGCAGCATTTTCAGACCGCTTCTAAGCGAGGTTAGTACAAATAATTTTTAGAGGAAATATTAACATTTTCCCTTTTTAAAAATCTTTTATATATACAATTTCAAAGCTAGGGAACAAAAACTTATATTTAACGAACAAAAAATGCTCCAAATGTTTTTCTAAATTAACGTAATAAAAAAACGAAACGAAATATAATCACTTTGCCATTACATACAAAACGGAACTATTTTAATAGCTGAAACAGTAGTATACTGTAGGCTGTTTTGGGAGAAGCTGGCAGACACGGGCCGGGCTAGGGCCTGAGCATCTCAAAAACCCTAGTCTGAAAAAGTTTGGATATTTGTCCTTCCATAGCCTACTTCATCTTTAACTTTCTCAAGAGTGGTCGGCGATGTGATCGCACATTTCACAAGATCCATTTCAGCTGTCACAAACTGAGAGTGAAGCTTACCCAGTCTTTTCAGACCGCTTCTAAGCGAGGTTAGTACAAATAATTTTTAGAGGAAATATTAACATTTTCCCTTTTTAAAAATCTTTTATATATACAATTTCAAAGCTAGGGTAGGCAACGTTTGTCATAAACATTGTTTGTTATACTGGTTGAGAGTCTCTTCACAGCCTGATAGCAGTCAATAATGAAAGTGGTTCATATGTACAGTGTGTGTGTGTGTGTGTGTGTGTGTGTGTGCTGTATATACACACACTGCAGACCATTCAGAGTGCTCATGACGAATGATGACTCCTGTTCACATTTGGGGAAGGTGTGATGCACAAAAGGGGTGTTTGCAAAGGTTGTTTGAAAAATGCTTTATTTTTGTATTTCCACTATGTGACACTAGTAGTGCAGAAACTGCCTACTCCAGCTTTAAAAGTTTGTGTTTCTCTCAGGATATCTGTGGGGTCCAGATGGCTTGTTCATGTCCAGTGAGTTGAAGAGCTGGTCTGACAGCAGGCAGTACTGCAGGGATCGTGGTGCTGATCTGGTCATTAACTGAGAGTGAAGCTTACCCAGTCAACACGTGAGATCGTGCAATGATCACAGTGACATCACATCATTCTCATAGTGTGATACTCACAGTGTGAGTAATATGTGAGCTCATTGTGAAGTCAAAATGTTGAGCAGGTTGAGAGGAGGCAGTTCAAATATCAGTCACCGAGGAGGCTTTCTATATCCTGTTTCTCAACACTATCACAGTGATATCACAGTGCTCTCACATGGTGAGCTCATGAGTGCACACTCAGCTAACAGTTTTTTGTTATAAGAACCTTCTCCAAACATACAACTGACTTCCAGACACAGCCTTCGATGAAATCAACTGAAATACAAAAGACATTAAATCTTTGGTGATCTCAGCAGAGAATGATTAAACAACTCCACAAACAGCATCACCAGCTTCACTCATTATTAACCAGACTGACTTTATTTCTGTCAGACATCTACAAAAGCGCTTATTGAGAATTAACAGAGATTTAGATGATGATGTTTTATTGTTTCATTAGATGTTACCATCAAGGTGATTAGTGTTTGTAGTGTTAGTGACTTTATAACATTATTTTTTTGGGCTGCTGTAACTGCATTTATAAAACACATTTTTCGTGGCAAGAAATACTAAAAAGAGACTGCAACCAGGTGCTATCAGTTTGTTAGTGATGATAACAACACAATCTTCATCCAGATTCAGTATGCTGGATTCCGTTAACTTGCTAAAGCGGATAACCAGATTGACTTTATTTCTGTTAGAGGTCTACAGAAGTTCTTATTGAGAATTAACAGGGGTTTAAATCTAATTTTTATTTATTTTGAAGTCACCATAATGGTGATTATTGTTTACATTAGTTGGGCTCTTAGCTCTAAAGTCATTACACTACAACACTGAAGAGAAGCAGGTGAGTTTGTGTGTCCATTACTGAATGAAAGGAATCACACTCATTCCTGTTTGTATTTACACACAGAAACACATATCTTCATTCATCAAGGAGAATGTGTGGATTGGTTTGTCTGATAGAAAGCAGGAGGGCATCATGAAATGGGTGGATAAGTCACCACTAAATAGAGGGTAAGTACTAAAACACTCACAGAAAACCACTGTGAATTTATTTATTTTAGTTTTTTATTCTTATTAGAAAAATAAGACCATCAACGAGAAGATTTGCTGAATTCATAGCTCTTACACAAACACAACCAGTATGGCCATGAAAGGCAATTCTCACAAATACATTCTATTTAAAGAATATTCTCCTCCTCTCTTACATTTTCACTTCTGCTTCTGCAGTATTTTCATTTACTTTTGAAACTATTTTGCTGCTGCGAGTGTTGTTGATTACTGATTTGGTTGTGTGACATTCCTCATTCAGTTACTAAATAGATGAAAGCTTTGAGCAAACTTTAGGGGTTCTGAATCATTAAAAATCTGGCACATTTTTATTCAGGTTTTGGGCCAGAGGTGAGCCGAATAACTATCAAGGTAGAAATGAGGACTGTATTGAACTGATGCCTTCAGATCTCATACTGAACAACTGGAATGATTGCTCATGCTCTGAGAAGAAAAAAGGGATTTGCGAGTAATAGGATTCATCCTTGTCTTGCTTTTACATGCTTTTAAAAGTGCTTTCATGTAAAAGGGTAATGCTGCTCACTTAACCTCTGATGTGTACATTTCTTGCTCCATTATAGCAGCTCTATGTTATATGACCGTATTCTACTGTTATCTTCTTTCTCATTTGTCAGTCTGAAGTGTAGAGGTGACAATCACAGTAAACTACAGAAGTCTAATGTGCCCCAGACTGCAACAATTCACATTTTTACTCTTAATATTGAGTGTCTGTGAAACTGCTTCGGATTTTAATTGCTTTCTGTTTTAATAAAATGGTCAATTGACAGTATAATCACAGCATTTTTGGTTTAATTTATTGTGTATCTGCTTTGTTGCTTTATGGAGAGATTTCCTCCAGTCCAGCAGGATGGGTATTAATTGATATTTGTGTGTTTTTGGTCCTGGAAGAAGTAGGAAGTAGATGTTCCATATTGAACAGGAACTACTGTTGTGTCAGCTTTATTGACGCTATGGGGAAACTCCTGTTTATACTGAAGTCTTATTTGTTAACGTTTGTATAGCTGCACAAACCAATGGCACTTGAGCCCTCCAGAATGGGCGGCGCTGACTGCTATATAAGTCGGCCCGGAACGCCATCTCGTCAGAATCATTTGACTGTAGAGACAGGCAACGATTCACGTGCAGCTTATAGCACGACACTGCACGTCATGCAACGTTCGTTCCCTTATCTCAGGGAACCAAGATTACGTTAGTAACTGGAGTGTTCCCTATTGAACAGGAACTCCCATTGTGTCAGCTTTATTGACGCTATGGGGAACGCATCCAGCAGTGCCGTGCTATGAGCAGAAGCAGAACTAAGCCTGCTCTACAAGCCCAACTCAGGAGCATTCACTAGAGGGCCCCATAAGCCTAAGCCACAGAAGAGACCCGAGTAATAACCTGAGGTATACTTAAGATGGCCGTTCCACCCAAAGGGGGAATGGGTAGTTCAAGCAGAAAAGATCCGCATCTGCAGGGCAGGGACACCCAAATTGTAAAATCTAACGTAGGGAGATGGCAACAACCAGCCGGCGGCCACACAATTCTCCCCGATAGAGATCCCTCTGAACCACGTCCAGGAAGAGGGCATTCCTCTGGTAGAATGGGCCTTCACACCTATAGGGCATTGCAAGCAAACCGCAGCATAAGCCAGGGCTATAGCATCTACTTTCCAGTGAGATAGTCTCTGCTTTGTGTCTGAGCAATCCAGAGCACTCAATGTACACTCTGAGTGCCCTAAAAGTGCAGTGCGCTGCGTTTTTTTATGTTGCTAGGCAACCACCAAATCAGCTGTCCCGTCAGTCTAATCAAAGGATTATAGCGCGAGCGCTCTAAAATCTTTGGTTTTTGCTGTTAAGTAAACTGTCATATTAGCAAAAACCTTAAAAAAATACAGCTCCGGGTACTCCGGCTGTACTTCCTTCGCTAGCTGAGGAAATTCAACCTGCCACAGGAGCTTCTGAAACAGTTCTACTCAGCCGTCATTGAGTCTGTCCTGTGCACTTCAATAACTGTCTGGTTTGGTTGTCAAAATCTGACATCAGAAGACTACAGAGGAAGGTTTGGACTGCTGAACGGATTATTGGTGCTCCCCTGCCCACCCTTCAAGAACTGTATGCATCCAGATTGAGGAAAAGGGCTCAGAAAATCACTCTGGATCCCTCATATCCAAGCCATCTCCTTTTTGAACTTTTGCCATCTGGTCGGCGCTACAGAGCAGCAAACACCAGGACAGCCAGGCACAAGAACAGTTTCTTCCCCCAGGCAATCTACCTTAAAAACAGTTAAATGTTCCTTCGCCAGCTGAGGAAATTCAACCTGCCACAGGAGCTTCTGAAACAGTTCTACTCAGCCGTCATTGAGTCTGTCCTGTGCACTTCAATAACTGTCTGGTTTGGTTGTCAAAATCAGACATCAGAAGACTACAGAGGAAGGTTTGGACTGCTGAACGGATTATTGGTGCTCCCCTGCCCACCCTTCAAGAACTGTATGCATCCAGATTGAGGAAAAGGGCTCAGAAAATCACTCTGGATCCCTCATATCCAAGCCATCTCCTTTTTGAACTTTTGCCATCTGGTCGGCGCTACAGAGCAGCAAACACCAGGACAGCCAGGCACAAGAACAGTTTCTTTCCCCGGTCAATCTACCTCAAGAACAGTTAAATATTGTCCCATTGTGCAATAATATGTGCAATAACCTTACACCAGAGGTGTAAAATCCAGGGGTCAGAAAGTAAAAGTCCTGCCATATGTTTATTCCAGCCATGAACTCAGCTGATTTCACCAGAGGAGGAACCACGTCATTCCTTTCAAGTCACAAGCAAGTCTCAAGTCATATCCCAAGTCCTCAAAGAGTTAAAGTTAATGAGATAATTAAGTGACTAATTAAATGATGATTGTGCATTAGTGATGAACACCTGCTGTTATTGAGAATTACAGAGGATCAGATGTTGATGTTTTATTGGTTAAAATGATGGCACCATCATGGAGATCAGTGTTTGCTTTAGTTGGGCTTTTGACCCTTTACTTCTGTGTTAGATCTTTCTTTGTAACACTGCATGAGGTGTTGTGATGCAGAGAAATCAGTGCTATGCCGTGAGCTGCTCTCAGCTGTTTATATGTGATGAGCCAGTGATCATGAGCTGGCCTGAATACAATCAAAATACCTTTTTTTTTTTTACAAGATTTTGTATAATCAATTCTGTAAAACTACAGCATGCAAGTAATGTGTTGATATGGTAGATATTGTGAATAAATTTAAATCTATATGATATAATATAAAATTTTGAGTTCATGTGCTGATTAGATACACACAGACATCAAGAACCAGCATATGAATCTCAACAATGGTGATAATCAACAAAATGCCTAATGCTGCAATGCATGCTGGGTAACACCATAGTAAAAACTCCCATCATACACTGCAGCATGAATAATTATTGTCACCACTGTTGAGGATCATATGATAAGTGTTCATGTCTAAAAGCCTGGGTTAACACGGTTTTTGCTTTTTTTTTTTTTAAATATTGAAGCATTATGGTGGCATTTGTTTAATATGATTTGTTTAGCAGATCAGTAGTAGCTGAATGTCAATCAATAAACCAAAGAGAGAAACCACTTTGATGTTCATTCATCATGAGTTATAAGCAGAAAGTTTAAGCTAATCTGTTACTTCAAGGTATGATTCAGCAATGTACAAATGTTTGCTGTGAAACAATAACGCAATCACTTAGAAGCAAATTACTTTGAACTCCTAAAAGAGTCAAGAGCCCAACTAAAGCAAACCTTGACCACAATAATGGTGCCATCGTGTTATTTTTTTTATTTTCTTGACCAATAAAACATTAGCATCTAAACCTCTGTCAATTCTCAATAAGAGATTCTGCAGACATAAAATTAAGTCAATCTGGTTAGTAATGAGTGAAGCTGGTGATGCTGTTTGTGGAGTTGTTTAATCAGGATTTGAGAGATTTTTTTTCCCCCAGTTGATTTCATCTAAGGCTGTGGCTGAAGTCAGATGTAGTTCTTGTGTTTCTCTTTTCTTCAGTGATTTTGATTGTTAACAGCAGCTGTTCATCACTAATGCTCAATCATCATTTAATTAGTCACTTAATTATCTCATTAACTTTAACTCTTTGAGGACTTGGGATTTGACTTGAAGACTTGCTTGTGACTTGAAAGGAATGACTTGGTCCCTTCTCTGATCTCCTGGCTGAAAAACTGTGCTAATTAGCAAATCCAGGTGATTGGAACAAAATACTGTGGAGGACTTTTACTTTCTGAACCTGGATTTTACACCTCTGCTTGAAAGGAGTGACTTGGTCCCATCTCTGATCTCCTGGCTGAAAAACTGTGCTAATTAGCAAATCCAGGTGATTGGAACAAAATACTGTGGAGGACTTTTACTTTCTGAACCTGGATTTTACACCTCTGCCTTACACGTATTTATCACCCTACATCCTACTACATCCCTACAACTTTTTTATTCTATTCCTGTTCTATTTTATCTATAGCACAACTGTACATACAATTTATTCTTACAGATATGTGTGTGTAATTTTATTATCTGTGTGTTGTTGTTGTCACTGTGTACTGGAAGCTTGTGACACTAAAACAAATTCCTTGTAAAAGGAATGTTAAAGCTCTTTCTGACTTCTGACTTACAGTGCACTGGACACAGCTAATCAGTTTTTGTAATAAAATTACATAATGCTATTCTAAAGAGGCCGTAGCCTAATGTTACACAGCAAAATCCCCGGTGTCAAATTAATACTGCTGGGTGTCTATATGTGTCCACACTACAGAGTGTTAAAAGTAACACTGAAGTGGTGTTGAAGTGAATGAGATAATTAAGTTATTAATTAAGTGATGATTGAGCATTATTGATGAACACCTGCTGTTAACAAGCAGAATCACTGAAGAGAAACAACAAGAACAGAAAAAAGAGAAACATAACAGCTACAAATGACTTCCAGTCACAGCCTTAGATGAAATCAACTGAAATAAAACACATTAAAGCTCTCAAGATAATAATAATAATAACAATTAGTTACATTTATATAGCGCTTTTCTGGGTACTCAAAGCTCTTTACATGAAAGCGGAGGAATCTCCTCAACCACCACCACCAACAAGATCTCAGCAGAGGAGGATTAAACAACTTCACAAAAAGCTTCATCAGCTTCACTCATTACTAACCAGTTTTACTTTATTTCTGTCATACAAAAGGTCTCATTGAGAATTAAGAGAGGTTTATTTTCATATTTTATTGGATTTCATTTAAAGGTTACCATCATTGCAATCAGTGTTTGTTTTAGTTGGACTCTTCACCCTTGACTTTGTATTATTTTTTCTCTGTCTACTGAAAGTCTGTGTTTACAAAACACATTATTATAACAAAGAAAACCAGGAGAGAACATGATCGGGTGATGCTGGCTGTTTGACGCTGACAAAATAATCATGTAGTGTCTTGATTCACTGATTGTTACATTATACACTGTTGACTAAATTAGTCCTTTGTTTCTACAGGTTGTGTTTGTGACCATGTGAACAATGTCATAAAGACGTTGTATACAAAAAGTATGTATTTACTGCACAGATAGACATGAAGAATCTGCACATGAATCTCAACAAGGGTGACAACAAAATATTCAGATAAACAGATTTTTGAACATCTCAAAACAAGCTACTAAAAAGTCACAACAAAAAGTAGCACAAATTAAAGCAAATAGTAAGAATAAGCGAAAATGCTAAGACAAATCAGGTGCATAATTTATGCGTGTTGCAATGCATTCT